GCTATAATTAGCTCTTTAGCTGACTTCGGGCTTCACAGAGATGAGGAGGAGGAGGAGGAACATCAAAGTGACAAAAAGTCGAGAAGGGAAGACAGAATAATACCTCACAGAAGTAAAAGAGGCAGACAGACACAAAGGCAGAGAAAAGGTAACATGAGAACTCTAGAATTGGTCGAATATGACATATAGTTGTGGGTGATGGTAGTTTGAATTCAGAAGTCAACTGCCGGTTTGATGGACTTTTTTGCCGTATGCGTATACGTTTCCCCAGGATGCACCACGTGGAGGTAAGTCTATCGCACACCCCACAAAATAGAACGTTGCAGCAATAATGTTTTGATCACTTTTACAATCCACACAAGTCTGATATTCTCGTTTTCTCAATTACGGAAGTGAGTAAACACTCTATTAATTTGGGCCCAAAAACGCACATTTTTTTACAAAAAATAACTTAAGCATGGCTTACATAAATAATGAGATGTCATTTTCTCACGTTAATACAATATTTCCACCTTGAAAATCACAAAGAACCCCCTCTTGAAATAAAAATCGGAAACGCTCAATTTATCTACATAAAGACTTCGTAAATGGTATGCATGAAGGGTAGGTAAAGGTTTATTTGAATATAAAATTTGAAGGTCAATTAAAATAGATTGAAAAGCAAAACTAAAAATTTTATTTAGTGTAAATAATTAAAAACTAAGTGGCTATTCACAATATCACTTTTTGCATTTCGAGAGCATTTTTCTGGTTTTCCTAAATCTTATTCCCGTAACGATGCCGCAGATGGATTAGAGGAATTCTAGCCTCAAATAACAAATCACGTAATAAAAGAATAATTGAAATGTGAATAAGTAGTGATGCGAAAGCACAATTAATCTTCACTTCTCGAATCGGCGTGTATCAAGCAGTTCCTGAATAGGCAAAATTTTCCCCAAACAATTACTAACCTAGAGCATCAATTGCCATGCCAGTTTCTGCGTAAATCACAGCCCATTAGAAAAAACGTAAGAAGTGGAGTTTGATTTATTGTCTGAAAAATAGTCGGTAGTTCTGGCCCAATATTTGAAAAAATGGTATTATTACCTTGAATGATGTCTTTAGAATTTCGGCTTCCAACCTGTGTTGTTAAAGAAATTTTGTCTGGAAATACTTCTTTGACTAGAGTTCGAATTTAAGAAATGTACTTAATAGTATAGGCTTATTTTCGTATGAGTAAATGACTTTGAAAACAACGAGTTATTTGAATGGTAATTACAATTTTTGACATGAAACTGAAAATGACCTTTATTCGGTTAGGTTTGGGCCATTTCGTTTAGTGCTCACTCTTTGCGTATTGGGAAATATGGATGATTATTCAAACAAATTCAAGAACTGACCAATCATTGTTCTTTATCATTCCAAACCCATTAAAAAAATCATTAATTTTCCCGCATTGTCGTTAGCAAAGCACACGGCCACCAGTGCCAACTAAGCCGGAGGGAGCTACAGCTCAGGTAAGCTCTGTCATGCAGTAAAATTAGATTAGCCTTTGATATTCATTTAATACCTATTTGCCCAAGTAATTTGCTTGTCAGGTAGTTCAGTGCTTGATTTAAACCGATGAATACAATTGAATGACTTCCTTCCCCATTTAACCTAACAAGTAAAATAATAATTGTGCAATCATGATAGATTGTCAAAATAGATGTGTTTAATAATGCTTCATTTTGCACTATACACAACCGTTTCTACATTTCTTTCAGCAGCAGATGCAACCTCAAGTCCAACAGCAAATGCCTCAAGCCGCACCGGTTCAGGTAAGCTCATCCAATATAATTCTTTCCCATTGGCATTCGCCGGCTTTCTGTCAGATTTCATGGAATACCTTGGCATAAATTAAAACTCTAATTTATTCACTGGTTTGTCCTTAAATAATAATCCTATAATTGAAAGAAAATTTCAAGCTTGCCTGAGCACAGGCTGGCACGTTTGGCGTTCACTTGAAATAGAATGATAACCTTCAGCACAAATAGTACATGGAATAACTTTAGGGTCCTTCATTGCTTCAATACCTTGTCCAAGAAAACTTTATATCTAATGAACTAGTTTATTTATCTTTCACTGTACAAGCTTAACAAATCGAATATCCAAAATTAGGACTGACTGCTTTAGAGTAGGAGAATTCTGTGTTTGGCAACTTTCCCTCAACTCCCGGCGTTTACATAGCCACCTGTTCCTTATGAATGAGATCATTCACTACTATGGTGTGCACGTTTGGGTGAGACTACTGTAGACAAACGTAGAATTTCAAATGCGTCTCCTAGGAAAGCTTAATGCATTGAAATATTTCAATTTAGCAGCAAATGCAGCCACAAGTCCAACGAAAGCGGCAAGTTGAACCACCTGAAGTAAGATAACCTTTACGCCCACTTGCATAACCCCCCCCCCCCAAACCGGTTCTACTTCACTGCTTGATTTAAGCGTTGAAGAAAGCAGAAAAATATCTATTCCAGTTAACTCAATTTTATGTCCGAGGGCTTTAAATCTGTAAATTATTGATAGGTATATAATTGCTTTAATTATGTTAACAAAATGTTACCCATTAAGCGCTCAGCAAGGTCTTCATGTCATTGGCTGGTGAGTTTTAAAAACGCATCTCGAAAACCCAACATTGAAGAGGGACTTGACCATTTAATTTTTTTTGAATCAGAATAAACAATTATCATTTACCAATCAGAATTAATTATGCAAGAAAGCGTACTTCAAAGGGAAAAATATTATGAAAAGATGATAAGCCGAAAGAGCTTAAGCAGAAAATTGAATTTGGCGGAAAATAAATACACACACTTTTGAAGTTTCTGTGGTAGTAGAATTTTTCAGGGTATGCGAAATCGGTCACACTGCATAAAAATTCCATTTAAAAATAAAAAAATGATATAAAAACGGTTTTATTCGCAGTTTCATATGAATTCGACTGCCCACTCTCAAATTCTTGAGCATATAATTGTCCCTATAAATATTTTTTAAAAAAACACATACGATACTTATTGAAATTCCCAGAAATCCAGAATTTCATCAATATTGTATCAAAATTCGTGTTTCTTTCAGTAAATTTTAATGCCATATTTCTCATCTAAACGGAAAGTAATATAATGAAATCAGAAATTCTTTCACACTAATATTTGCTATAATAGTATTTAAAACGTCTAAATGATCAAATGATAATTAGCCAGAATTCTTGTTTTTGGCTACTCGTCTGTTGCAAAAGGAGAGTGAAAAATCTTGATTATATTATCGTAAACATTTCATGATTTGAAATTTATCACTTAATATGGAAATTGTCTTTAGCAACGGATGCAACCTCAAGTACAACAGAAACCGGTAAGCTCCTTGAATAGGAAAGAAGAGTTCTGTTCCGTTGTTGGACAATTTACAGGTTTTGCATGATTCTTTAGTATTTTTAGTGCTTTAAAGTAGTTGAGGAATGAGTTGATTACTCTCTTTCGGGGGCTTGGATAATGATTCAATATTCGAAACCAAATAAGAATCCAATTGAGTTATAATTTAACTCTGAATGTGGGCCGGTATACGTCGCCTAAATCAATTGTTGATAAAAATTGCATCATTTTATATCCTTCCATACAAAAATTGAATAATTTCTAAAATTAGATAAGTTTCATTAATTTAGTCGAACTGAAAATGTTGATTTCAATGACTACATCTTTCAGGTTTCTATGTTTTCCCCTTGAAAATCATTTTTTCCGATTCCTATCATTAATTTAAATTCACTGATTGATGACTGATCTATTGATAATATAAATTCTATCTTGGCTTCATGTTCTAAATAATAACAGTAATTTCATGAGAAATTTTCATGAAAAATTAAACGATGCTTAAATTAATATTTTCATTTACTACATCTAAGCCCATTGAAGCTATCTGGATGAAAAGATTTTATATAATTAGCAAAAAAATCAGTTGTCAAAATCCAATTGATTGAAATATTCCACTTTTTGGAAGTTATGAAATCCAATCAATGCTTTTAAACTCATAAATTCATTAGCAATGTAATTTCATAAGCAGTTTGCCTATTTTTTCTTTGTTTTCAACACTTAAGAACGAAGATAATTGGAACGCAAAGACTTATCATAATCAGCAGACCACATTTTATGAGAGCATTTCTTCAGCATATGATATTTCAGTTAAAAAGAGGGATTGGCGAGGTTCAAAGACGGTGAAAGCTGTAAAGGATGCAACTCAGAAACGACAATCGGTTTTGGAGAAGCATGCTCTGATTTCGCAACGTGATTCACAAAATGAGAAGGCAGAAATCCCTGTGGATCAAGAAATATCAAAGGAGGGTTCCAATAAACCGAAATATCAACAATTCCATTCTGGATCACACACTAATATCAGGAAGATATCCTCTGAAGCTGTTAAAAATGCACCTGACCAACATCAAGAACGGGTGGAAGATTTGATAAGCAAAAGCCACGAAACTACTTCTGCAAACATTCTTAGATCATCAAAGAAACCCAAGGGGAAGTTAGATACTGGATCTGTTCAAAAATCATCAACGAAGAGTTTTGAGGGAATGGAAAAACGGCAGTCATACAATCGAGTCACTTCTCACGAGGGATATCATAAATACAGTAAAATATCTTCTCAAGTTGTCGCTGATGTATCTCAAAAGCATCAAGCACATGAGAAAGCATCCCCAAATGAACGACAGGAGAATCGTTCTTTGTATTCTCGAAAGTTCTTACAGCAACTTAACGGAAATTTAGAAGTTAAAGAGAAACCAGAACTGACCAAAGAGGGTTCTGCAGAATCAGGAAGTCGGCAGTCGTTAAGTGAGTTAGATCACCACGAATTACAAAGCGAACACAAGGAAATATCACCTCATTCTAACAAAGATATATATCTAAAACATCAATCACACACGGAAGGACTGTCAGGTGAACAAAAGAATAACTTTTCTTGCATTAATCTTAAATCTTCACAACACCTCAAAGGCAAAATTGATAACAAAGTCGATCAGGAATTACAAAAGGAGATACTTAAAGAGTGTGAAAATCAACAATCGTACACTGCGAACAGTTGCCAAAGAACACGAAGTGAAAACATGGAAACGAGCATTCAGACCATCAAAGATCACACTCAAGAAAATTATATGAAACTGGAAGGTGCATCGACTGATCGAAAAGAGAAAAGTTATTCGCATATTCAAGGATCATCGGGGGGAAGCATCGAAAAATTAGGAATTGAAGGAGAAGAAAGACCATTAACGGACAAACTTACAGGAGGGGAACATTATCGATCTTTCATTTTGATTGGTTACCATGGTTCAGATTATAGCCCACTGGAGATATCTTCGAAATTTATCAAAGATACATCACAAAAATATCGAAAACATAGGGAGGTCTTTTCGGGTAAACGTCAAGCTACCCATTCTTCCTATTCTCAGAAATCATCCAAGCTGGTAAACGGGGTGCTTGATGTTGAATTTGAGATGAAGGAAGCAAAGAGGAATTCGAAAAGATCAGAACCACATCTTTCGTGCGTTGACATCAGTTACCAGGAAATGGGTTGTAAACACACGGAAACATCTTCACTTGAATTTCATTTGAAACAACCAGAGGCATATATCACCCTGAAAACTATAAATTCAGAGAGATATCTAAGTACAGCCACTTTCGAACAATCCCGGTTGCAGACTTCACAAGCGAAATTGCAATATAACCCTCGGGCAGGTTACATTGAGATTAGTGGAAAAGGGAGCGTGCCTAGTAGGGAATCCGAAGCATCATTCAATTCAGTCTACACCAAATTGAACGCAACCAATGCAGATGACGCATTAAACTACAAAACTGAAATGTTGGTTGAGATTATTTGGTGTCTCGAAATTATATTCTATGGGTGTAGGCATAAGTCTCTTGATGTGTGGTCCACATCTATTTCATATTGTGCTTTGTTGGGGGATATATTGGGAATCATGAGGGTGAAATTTCCTTCCCTGCATGCATCGTTAATAATTGTTAACTTACTTGATATACAGAGTTATTAACAATCATACAATTGTTCGCATGGTATTGGCATGGGTTAACAGCACACCTTCAACGTATTATTTCATAATAGGTACTATTTATATTTACCTTAACAGCCACCACCTCCACCTCCACCACCCCCACCCCCACCTGAAGCTACAAAACCACAATATGTCGTTGGGGTAAGATTCTAGGCAGTACTACTACTGATAAAATACTTCACCAACACTGTGTTTTATTCCAACGAAAAATTTGAACATTCAAAAGATACTTTAGTTTCAATCACAAAATCGCCGTTTGAACCACTAACACAGATGCCACATTTGATTCAATTAGGGTAAATAAGTCCTGGTGGTAGAAACGCTTAGATTTAACTACTTAAGTTTAGTTTTAGGGAAACAATTAAGAAGAAGAAGTCGTCAACCTTCTGTTTGAGATATATAAAATGCGTTAATGTTTTTCATTTCTGTAATTTATTATAGGAAGACGATGTGAAGAAAGATGGAAATTGGACTCATTATTATGAAGCTAATTAAATCTATCGTATTTTATTAGAGCGCAACGGAAGGCCAACCCAATGGAGAATACAGCGTGACGGAAACGAGCGCGGAATTTCAAATAGAGCTATGATCAAGGCGGCAGGGATCGATGATCGGATCATTGAAAGGCTGAACCCACATCTCAAACCTTTTCGTCATCTTTATCTCCCCATTTAACCAAAATGAAAGTCTACAAACACTGCCAAAATTTTTAAATATGAAAATGCTAGTGCCCCCGTTTAACTACCTCTTGCCCACTGATTGCTAAAATTTCTTCTCCAACCTTCAGTATTCAAAGTTTAGCACCATTTTCGTCCCTCTTTCAATGCTTCACTTTTAAAAAGTGCGTTTTATCTCGCAATCATCTAATCTGACGCTATTAATGCTAGATATAAAAAGCATTAGTTCATTTGCTCCTAATTGTCTCACATTTCTTCTTCTGCTCTTGTTCTCCATCCTCCACCTGTTTCAGAAGTCCTCCTCTAGGACACGTTGAGGCTTTCTATATTTATCTCGCTTTCTCGAGTGGAACTTTATTGTCACAAGACAGATTACCTTTCAAAATATATTAATTATTACTAAGATTATCGTATATATATATATATATATATATATATATATCATGTTGAATTAGTGCCAGTTATCATGACGGACTAGGTCATCCAATGACTTGTTTCATGTAAATCATGAAAGAGCAAATTGGGAGAAAAGTGTCTACAGGACCTCATCTCACAGATATTAGTAAGAGCAGGCACCAAATCATTTGAGTAATCTCGAGCGCATTTGGTAAAAGATGGTCTTATTGAGGTTCCATTTCACTGACTTTCTTAACCACAATTTTCAGCGGATTTATTTTCCATGTAACTACCTCAAATTCACTGGATCTCCAATCCAATCAATTTTGGTCGATTTTAGTCTGATATCTTCTTCCTTCAGAGAATATGAGTTAATTTAAAAGGACTGCCTTTCATTTATCCTAAAACAAGCTAAGTTTTAGTTCAAAATGAAAAGTATAACAAATCGACTGTTTTAACAAATGAATGAAATTAACTAAATCCGTTGTAACTGTTCAGCGCCTAACTTAGTTGAAGATTAATAAAATACCTATTGCTAAGCCTATTTGCGCATTTTACGATGGCAATAAATAAAATCCTTTACACATTATTAAGTAAAAAGTATTTTGGAGGCCGATATGGTTTGAAATATCTATATGCCTTCCACTGTTAATGAAAATAAAATAATTAATTAATAATTTGCAAATAATAAATATAATGGATTAGTCTGGATTGATACTCTGTCTCATTTTTATAACTTATTCGTTAAAATTAGCGAATATATAATTATCTTTGGCAATAAGCGGCACTCAAATTTGTAGCGGATTGCTACCTTAGTAAAGCCTGACCAACTCAGAAATCTCTATGGCAGATTGACATCTAGCTACCGGCTCAGAAATTTCTATGGCAGATTCTCCAACATCTAGCTAGGCTCCCAAAACTAGCTAAGCCACGGTCCAGCTATAGAGGAAACAGACATATAGCACGGAACACGTTTATCCAGTAGGATCATTGTGGTTAAAGTGTACAGGGGGGGGAGCTCAATCATGATCAGGATGGCGGAT